GAGCCGGGGGGAGCCGCGGGCGCTGCTGCCGGGCGCTGCTGCCGCGCGCCTGTGTGCGTCCGCGCCGCGGGAACCGCTGCCCGCCGGGTCCAGCCCGCCGTGACGGTTGAGGGGCTGGCTAGTGTGCCCAAAGTCACAGGGGGTGGCGACGCTGAGAGTGGGCCAGTCTGCCCGACCCTGCGCCCGGCCCTCGAGTCACCACACCAGGCCCGAGTGTTTCTGCTGTGCTCTCCATGGATTCACGTGTTGACTGGACCAACACCTTAGGTGGCAGGAGTTACCGCAGACAAGACAGAATCCCTACTTTCAAAGTTGCACTAGTAAACCGGGCCGGGGGGTGGGTAACTAAAATAGAGTTTTGTAAGGGTAGGAAGGGAAAGGAAGATCAAGGGAAGAGGGAGCTCCTTTTCATAGGCTGTTCCAGGAAGGCCCCTGGGGTGATGATCGGGTGCGAACAGAAGCGGGAGAGAAGAGCGGAGCGTGCCCTAGAAATGGCTGGAAGACCAGTTAAGGGAGGTGTTAGGACTTAAAGCTGGAAGAGTGGGTAGTGGCCAGGTCACACTGGGCTTCGTAGTTTGTTTCCTGACTGCAGTGGGATGCCATTGAAGGATTTCGTGTACTTGATCCAAAACGTGTTCTGTAAGCTCTTGAGGGTGTGAACTACAATATGCAGTGGGGGTTTTATGTTGTGCTTGGATAGATTTTGATTTGTTTACTGCTAATACCAATACCTTTAAAGTCTACTTGAAAGAACAGGTACTATCTACCCCGGTACTGACTTTCTTAGTTTGGGTTATTTTGAGGAGAAATCACAAAGGACTACCCAGGAAAAAGAAAATACAGTTTCATGGGAAGTCTGCTAGAAAGGAATGAAGACCAAATTCCTAACTTCAATTCTGCTGGGGATCTCCCTGAGAGATTTCACTTACTGTCCTGGTTTCAGGGATCCCAAGTCTGCTGAAGGTTCCTAACCTGAAGTCTCCAGAGCAGACCTGGCTGCTTTCAGCTCAGATAGGCCTTGTGAACAGGGCACTTCCACCTGCGTGTCCCATGGGCACCTCAGACTCAGATGCCCCAAAGTGTTTCATTTTCCTCCCCCTAAAACCTGTTCTGCTTCACCTCTGCCACCATCCACTCAGAATCCAGCTGGACACACAGCGATGTCCTGGACTCCTCTTCCTGACCCTCTCCCCCACCCCTCATATGTTGTCTCTTGCTTCTTCTGCCTGTTTCATCTTCTGAGTTACTCTGCCCTCCCTGAGCCCCCTTTATCTCATCTAGACTCTGAACTTGCTTACTTCCTAACCAGTCTCCTTAACTCTGTTTGCCCCTCTCTTGAACCTCTCCTCCACAAACCAGCCCAGCGCATCTTCTAAAACTGTTCTCATCACGTCACCACCTTCTTGGATTTCCAGGTCTGCAGGCAATGGCGTGTCCTCCCTTCCCACCTCAGCCCCTCATGACTGCTTCGTACTGGTTCTTGGTGTACAGCTTCTCTCCTCTTTGCCTTTGCGTCTCTTGTTCACTCCCAGCATTCAGTCCAACATCGCTTCCTCCAAACTGCCTTCCCTACCATCTCACACCACCCCTCCAGGATTCCAAAATAGCCAGTGTGTCTTTATCATGGCACTTAGCTGCTTCTTCGTTATCTGTTAGTGTATCATTCTTCCCCAAACAGTGTAAGCTTCCGTCTGTCTGCTTAGCTGGAAGTGGGAGCACATCCAGGCATATGCGGGCCTGCCTGTACACAAGAACAGAAGGCCAGATGCAGTGCATATGGGCTGAGGCAGCCAGACAGAGCTTGTTGCTCAAACCCCTTTGATGAGCAGGCCCGGGATCTGAGGGGACCCAGGGGTGTGAGGCCAGTAGGTGTACACCAGTGCCCCCAGGGTCCTATCTGGTCAGCACCCATCACGCTGAGAGTGACTTATTTCATATCTCTTGTTCACCACCATGTCCACATTGCATGGAGTACGCTGGGCCTCCAGAAAAGGAACTGTACGATGAATGTGGTAGACAGTGACCATGGGGCATGCTGCCCCTGAGCCCCATCAACATGAAATGCCAGTTGGGGAATAACGTGACGTGTGGGTCTGATGTGTGGGTCTCATTGACAGGCTCACAATTTGTTGTGTTTTATCGTGTGCATAGTAAAGGAAATATGAAATCTTAGTCTTACTGATACAAAGAACTGCCTATCAGCAACATAAATAGCTTTGTGATTTTTTTTTTAAGTGACCTTGGGGCACCTGGATGGCTCAGTCTGTTAAGTGTCTGACTCTTGGGGCACCTGGGTGGCTCAGTTGGTTAAGCGTCTGCCTTCGGCTCAGGTCATGATCCCAGGATCCTGGGATCGAGCCCCACATCAGGCTCCCTCCTCGGCGGGAAGCCTGCTTCTCCCTCTCCCACTCCCCCCACTTGTGTTCCCTCTCTCTCTGTCTCTCTCTCTCTCTCTTAAAATCTTTAAAAAAAAAAAAAGTGACTCTTGATCTCAGCTCAGGTCTTGATCTTGGGGTTGTGAGTTCAAGCCCCATGTTGGGCTCCATGCTAGGCATGGAGTCTACTTAATAAAAAATAAGAAAATAAAGTAATCTCTGCACCCAGAGTGGGGCTCAAACTCACAACCCTGAGATCAAGAGTCAGATGCTACACCGATTGGGTCAGCCAGGTGCCCTGATAGCCTTGTGATTTTAAAAACAAATTGGAAATCTTTGTAGTGCTTAAAGCAGCTAAATAACTGTTCATGCAGAGCACTCAGAGAAAGATCGCTGTCCATGGTTTTACTCATGAGAGCTCATTTGTACTGTTCATTCATTCATTCATTCATTCATGTCTTCAGCAAACACAGAGCACCTACTGTGTGCTGTTACTATTCTTGGCACTGGGAATAGAGCAGTGAGCAAAAGACAGAATCCACCCCGCCCCCGCAAGTTTTATTGATTCTGCAACTTTAAACATTTAACATCTACAGAAATTGGGATGTATCTTAAAATCAACCTTGTGAGCATTTTATTTGCCCTCTTTCATTTGGTGGCACATAAAAGAACCATACATCTTAGGACTGATGGGGTCTCAGATTCAGCAGTGGGGGAGGTGTTTCTTCATACTAATAGGTTTAGGGGTCTCTGGGCCCCATAGGTAGAATAAATGAGAGCTGTGGACCTTTTAACTGACCAGGTATAGACTCACCCCGACCTAAAATGACTCCCGAGTTCATTTTGTGCTAAGAGTAGCAGTCAGGTTTTCTCATTTCGCAGCTTGTTGGAATTTACTCTGCCCACATCTCACTGTGTGTTCGCCTCATTTGTTGTGAAATAACTAAACCTATGTTACTGCCAGAAACTTAGTGGCATTAGTTTAAGAAAGTTAGCTCCAAGAAGACAGATCAAAAAGCAGTTGTGGGCTGAAACTGCTGCAGTGAGTACTTTACCTTCGGAGTGAAGAGAAATTAAATGATGAGCATTTCTCTGTTTTGCTTTAAATGCTTCAAAAATGGGTATTTTAGGCCTCCGGTTATGGAATGAATAAGTCATGGGATGAAAGGTACAGAGAATATATACTGTAACAATGTCATGTGCGTGACACATGGTAGCTACGCTTGTGGTAAGCACCTGAAACTGATGTAACACTGCTGTGTCAACTGTAAGTCCATTTCTTAACAAAAATGCGGGGCTCAGTCAGTGGAGCATGGGACTCAGTCTGCGGGTCATGAGTTTGAGCCCCACGTTGGGGGCGGAGATTACTTAATAAATAAAAGTTTAAAAAAATATTGGCACCTTGTTTTGACCAGCTAAATTCCTGGGTGAAAACAAATGATTTTTATACATATGTTGAAAGTACATGTATTAAAAGGGAAAAGAGTTTCAGTAGACTGTGGGTGGAGAACATGAGACAATCATAATACTTACCAGTAGGGCTGAATAGTGCTTTACTCTTACAAAATGCTTCTAGTACATGCTTTTAATTTTGATCCTAACCATAAACTATACATATACTGTAGGTGAGGGAACAGGCCCAAAGGCTAGCTGATGGTTTTCTAATACAGCACAGCCAATAAGTAGTGAGCTGGGGCCTAGCCACGGGTTTGTGTCCACAACACTTCGCTACCTCACATAGGAAGAAACAGAATATGTGTTCAAGTCCAACCCCCTTCCCTGCCCACTGTCTAGGGTCTACTGTCACCCTGTTACTTTGTTGAAATCCTTAGTTTTCCATTACATAAACCTCTCTAGCACATCCTTTGCACCTTTGCCTATCACGGGGATGGATTAACCACAGATACTTGGTATATCAAATTATCACTTGGAGTTGGTTTGACACACTGGTGGACTTAGAAGAACTATCTGGAGATAAATATACACTGTGCTCTTTTTAAGTGAAAAAGGCCAGGATATGGAATACGCAGCACGTGTAACGCTATCTAGGTTTCACACACAGCCAGGCATCTGCATTTCTGTACTAGGTGTAAGCATTATGTCAGTGTACAGGAAGGATCTGGAAAGATGCACATCAGGCAGATGACAGTGGTCCCTCTGGGGTTCTGGGGGTAGTAAACAAGGCACTTCTGATTGTGTAACTTTTGGTGTAATATATGAATCTGTTGCAATAAAAATGTGTTTTTATTGGTTAAGACTTCTTTTCAGTTACAACTTGACAGAACATCCATGCCGAACTAGTTTGTTTTGTTTATTTATTTGAGAGAGAGAGCATGTACAAACGCAAGCGAGCAAGCAGGGGGAGCAGAGAGGAAGGGAGAAAGACTATCAAGCAGATCCCATGACCCTGAGCCAAAACCAAGAGTCAGACACTTAACCGACTGAGCTACCCAGGCACCCCCAAGCCAAACTAGTTTTAAGAGGAAAAACCAAAGCACAGCTTCATGGAGGAGCTCAGCTGACGGCACCAAAACTGTTCCTCCGTGGCAAACTCTGCTCCCCTAGATTGCTTCCCTTCTCACACAGGCTCCCCAGCACACGCAGGTGCAGACTGCATCCTCTTCAAGTCCGCCAGGAGAGAGCAAGAGCCTCTCTGGTGGGCTCATCTGTCCAGCCTTGAAGCAGCCCTGTGGCCAAGGGAATTCATACGTATTTGGCATCAGCCCAGCTTGCTGGGTTCCCTTTCTGTGGGGCGAGCCCCACCCGGACTCCTGCCTCCCTCCCCAAGCCCTGCCTGGAGGGGGTAGTGCTGGAGGGGGTGACGGTCCAGCTGCCCCGCAGAGGCAGGGGCTGCCCAGCACCATGCCTCACGTGGGAACTGTCATTCACTCCTGTGTGCTCTCGAGTTTGCCAGTGTTCATGGTTTTCCTGTTTCATTATGAAGAGTTGTCTACACAGAACGAAAACAGCCCATGGTAACACTTTAGAGACCTTGTGCACTCCTTTTTCCTTCTTTGTCTTAAGGACTCTCTCAAATATGTACAAAGTGCACTCACTGTTCTGCTTCAGCCCGTTACTACCTGCCTGGTGTGTCCCCTCCATCCACTTCCTCCTTCCAGTAACACGCCGTGAAGCAAATCGCAGACGTCTCCCCTCCACACACCTCACTGTGGATCTCCAGACCATGAGGACTCTTTGTAACACAACCAGAGGACCATTCTCACACCTTTTTAAAAAATTCCTTCATATGAAATAACTGATCTGCTGAGTTCTCCCATCACCTTGTGAATTTTTCTGTGACACAGAATCCAAGCAGGAGCCAGCCATACATCCGGTCGCTCTGTCGGTGGCTCCTGTCCATCTTTCCCTTGCAGTTTACTCGTTGCCGGAACCGGGCCACTTGCCCCGGGGAGTCCCCTGCATTCCGTGTTTTGCTGACTGTATCCCATGGTCTCATTTGACATATTCCCCTGTCCCCCGTGCTTCCCCGCAGACTGGTATTAATAGTCAGATTTGACATGATGTTGATTAGTTTTGATTTTTGTAAGAATACTTAGCAGGTGGTGCTGTGCTCTTCCTGTTGATGACAGGTGTCTCTGCAAGCTAAGATGCGTCACTGGGCGTCTGACTTAGCGATTCTGAGTCCCTTGCCCTGCCCCACTAACTCATGATTGAATATAAGCACAGGTCACAGTGACAAAGCGCCTGTGATCCTGATTGCTGTTGTCTCAGCTCTGGGGGAATCTCACTCACGCTGTAGTTGTGCTAGCAGTGGGCAGGCCCCCCAGGTGTGGCTTATTCATAACAAGGTAGGAGGGGTGGGGAAGCTAGTTGCTTGCTCTCAAATAAATAAATAAAATCTTAAAAAAAGAAAAAAGACATTTGTGGGTAAGAGAATGAACATGTTTGTGGTATTATTGTCCCTGCCCTCATGGTGGTTCTAGATGCTGAGAAGGGAAAGGCGAGGACTCTTAAGATGTTTGTGCTGTTTTGTCCCCTAGGAGGTTTCAGTCAAGAAGAACTTCTAAAAATATGGAAAGGGCTCTTCTATTGCATGTGGGTGCAGGATGAACCCCTCCTACAGGTAACATACAGTTCCCTTTGTCATATGCCTGGGGTTTTTTGGCCCAGATGGATAAAAGGGCTTGCTCGTTTTCTGCTGGGTCAGTCTGCTGTGCACGTAAACACATTGTGAAGTCACTGCTCAGGGTTCAATGCCTACCTCTTACCCATCTAGAGAGGGACAGAGTGGCCAAGCAGTGAGCTTATCTTTTCAAATAGTAAAGAATATGCATAAAATGGAGATTCCCTATGTCTCTGTCATAGTTTCATAGGTTGGTTCTATGGAAGATTTTAACATATTTTAAAGTTCCTGTTTCGTTTGTTATTATTGGTCAGTCGTGGCACGGCACTGGTCTAAGAGCCTGTGAGCACTGGGCACCGAGCCCACCTCTGCCGTGCATTGAGTGGGTGCCGGGACTGGGCAGCTACCTTGCCAGGGGTCAGGATCTTTGTAGAGCAAGCAGTGGACCCGCCTCTGACACCCCAGCCTTAAAGTCAAGTGGAGACTTGGCACAGATGTGCATGTGCTTTTGGACCCATCTGCCAAGTACGCTGAGCCCCACCACCAGAACCATTTCAGAGAGTGACTCTAGCTGTTGACAGAGCTTCACTGTGTGCCTAAGAGCAGACCCGCTTTTGTAGAGTGGAGGGTAAGCCTTGAGGAACGCTGCTTGAAAGCCTGCAATATGTAAAACGTCGTAGACTTGACTTGTCTGGATTTTAGTGTGTGACTTTACCACTTTCCCCAAGCCATGTAATAGCAGGCTTTGATTTATTGCTTTGACTCCACTGAACATATTTTGAGTAGGACAGCAGGGCAAAATATTTTTAAGTTACATTCAGAAGTAACAACCAACAGCTTTAGTGGAGGAAGAAAACAGATGAACAGGAGCATCATTTTCCAGTCTGGGAGTTCATTTAAAATGGGTGAGGAAGACGTGAGCCCAGATGAAGCGCAGGTCATACCGAGGAGGACTGTTCTTATGTCACTCGTGAACAGGATTCTTTTGTGGACCCTCCCCAGGGCGGTCTCTTCCTAGACCCGGACCACCAAATTCTCCCCGCCAGTGAGCTTGCTGCATTGTAGCAGGACTTGACTTCACGTGGCCCTTTTGCCCCGGACAGAGCCTGGATGGGTGCTGTTAACCTTCGCTTCCTGCCCCCCCGGCCCATCAGCCTGCCTGCGAGCGAGCTGAGGCCAGGACTGTGTTCCACACACACCCCTGAGGAGTGACAGACAGTCCCCGTGTCTGACTGCCAGGGGTCCTCTTGAAGGCATCGGTGTGCCATAATTTGGGGGCTTAGGATAGACTCTCCATTCAGTGATAGATTTTTTGACAGCAAGTTTCCCTCCCTAGGTCATTTGAACTGAAACTAGAGATACTTTTCTAAACATGCAGCGTGATCCTTAGAGGCATGTTACGTTGGCACAGCAGTCCCGAGATTGGGAGTTGCATGTTGGGTAAAATTGAAATAGTGACGTAACAGGAGGTCCAGACGCCAGCAGATGTTGTCACGTCCTGGTGCTGCCGTGCAATAACCCCACTGTCTCTCCCCGACCCCACCTTTGCAGGAGGAGCTAGCGAACACTATTTCCCAACTCGTCCACGTTGTTAACAACTCAGAGGCCCGTAAGTCCTGATGTTTTCATGACTTTCAAAACTTCCTCATTCATCGGCTTGGGTAACTTGCCTAGGAAACTAAGCACTATTGTTTCTCCTTCCTCGAGGGTTTCCTTTTTCCAGGGGGCTTGTTGAACAAGCACCTGGGGCCACCAGTGTGCACCTGGCGGGCGATAGACCTTCCCTGTGGGAAAGCCGTGACCCCAAAAGAGGGCCGATAAAAGAGGCATCTCATGCAGTATTGCGTGACCTCTCCAAAAGAGTTCAAAAAAAATTTTTTTTTTTTTTAAGAAATGAAACTCTCCAGAGTCTGCACGTTCTGGGTTGCTGTAATGCTCTCAGAGGCTATGCATGCATGGGCCAGGGCTTGCTAGAACCTCTGGCGGCCAGGCTGTCCTCCTGAAGACTGGAGCCATGTGAGGTCATCACTGGTAATAAACCATAAAGTAAGCCCTCTTTACCAAAAAGAACAAAGGGAGAAAATGAATGCATTATTCCTGAGACATTCAGGCTTTGATTCCTGACAAAAGAAGAGAAAGCAGAATTGGTTGTTGGTTCTGCTTAGCGCTCCTCAGAGCTGAGCCTTAGTAACCGCAGTGGCTCTGTGTTTCAGCCGGGCCCCAGCCCACTCATAATGAGCAGAATTCTACACGTGGAGTATCTTCTAGGTTTTCACATACCAAGAAAGAATTATGCAAAAAGAAGTAAAAACAAACAGGAAAATTCGACAGCTATTTTTGGATGGAAAAGTGGTAGATTCACTGGCTCTGAAGAGAAAAATAGAACATTTTGTTAGCGCTCAACCAGCTGACACAGAACATGAAACGAAAAGCTGAGTTTCTGCATGGATCATCCAAGTGTTCGTCAGAATTAATGGCTCTGGATTGATTGTTAGGTGTAGGTGGGCGGAAAGGGCCTGTAGACGTGGCTCAGAGAATTTTTGATTTTAATAGAAACAAGGCTTTGCAGTGGATAAAGAAAAACACTCCATAGAGCATTGTAGTTGAACATCAAGATGTTATCAGCCGTTTGTGGAAATGGAAAATAAATATTTAGCAAGTTTAATTATTGACCAAATTTTCTAGCTGCCGAAAAAATTCTTGAAAAAGTAAAAAATAATCCTAGTTTGTTTCCCTGCTACTTTCTTGCTTTATGGTAATACGTGAACCTGACAAGCAAGTATTCAAAGCCTTTTGTTTGCTGCAGAACACCTGTTCATTCAAACCTTTTGGCAAACGATGAATCGGGAGTGGAAGGGGATAGACCGGCTGCGTTTGGGCAAATACTATATGGTAAGATCGGAGCGCCTTTCCCCCACTTTTGCTTCCAAACCCTGTGAAGGGCAACATGTTGAGCTTCTTCAGAACAGTGGGAAGCCTTCTTTGTGAAGCAGAGCAAGCTCCAGGCTTCGTGTGGCAAGAGGTGATGTGATCAGGGGACAGCATTTGCATGTGTGCTCAAAGGCTCTGTTTTCTGTTTCAGCTGCTGGTGAGTTTGGGGATCCTTAGTTAACACTTTGTGATGAAAGTTCACTGTGATGACAGTGACTGTGTTTTCACTTTATAGAGGCAGGCTGCACCAGTTCCATTGGTCTTTTCATTCTGCTAACTGATGGGCATTTCTTACTTTCCCTTTTGTAACAAAAGTTTTCTCTCTCTAGCTGATCCGTCTGGTCCTGAGGCAGTCCTTTGAAGTTCTGAGGAGACATGGCTGGGAAGAAAGGTCGGTAAAGTATTAGGACAAGCATTTGGTGGCTTTAAAACTTTTAAAGCAATAACGTGTTTTTCAAGCATTTGAATTAGCGAGCTGGAATGAGTTGCCTGATCTCTGCCTTCCACTCTGGTGATTTCCTGTGAGAAGCAGAACCTCCTTATGCGTCAAGAACTCGAAGCTGGGTAGAGGCTCCTGAAGGACTTGAGCCCACGTGCAGCCTTTTATACCCAGCCCGGGGATCGCTTTTCTCCTTGTAAAACGCGCTCAGCCTTGCACTGTTTGTTGTGCAGCGTAGCATGAGAACGAACGTGACTATTTTCTTTCAGGGAAGAGAGAAGCGTCGGCATGCTGTAGTTAACAGAAACGTGTGTGTTGTTTTCTTCAGCCGGATCAAGCTCTTCCTCGATGTCTTGATGAAAGAAATCCTGCATCCTGAGAGCCAGTCTCCGAATGGAGTCAAGTTCCACTTCATAGATATTTATCTGGATGAACTGTCCAAAGTGGGAGGGAAAGAGGTAAGAGGCAGTGAGACACCGAGCCGGCGGTGCGGTGAGACCGCAGCTGACCGGACCAGGACTCTGGCTGTCCTCGTGGTCACCGGGCTGTGGAGGAAACGCTGTGCTCAGCAATAGGAGCAGCATAACGGGCTCAAGCTGTCTTTTGACAAATCCTTCCCCATCTGGGACTCTGGCCTAAGCAGTGAATGGGACCTGTGAACAAAGATTGTGCGCTAAGGGTGTTCTTGGAAGTCTTACTTGCAAACAATTGAAAGCAACTAACACAGTCCAACAATAATACAGGGACGTGGTCACGGTGTTGATTTTTTAAAAAGCAGTAGGGAAGAAAAGCAGCAGATAAAGCTGTGCTCATAGATGCGTTTCTCAAGTGTGTCTTTACCCATGAGTACACAGTGCGGGAAAGGAGACATGTTGGCTTGCATGTGATTATCTGAATTTGGGGCTGTCGGCAGTTTTTGCTTTTTTATTTTTACACTTTTTTTTTTTACAGGTGTTCTGCAACGAACACTTTTTTTTTTTAATTGAAAGGAAGTAGAAATACTACATTTTTAAAAATTGGTTCATCTTACAGTTTCTGACAACATCTGTGTAGAACCTGTCTGCAGAGCAGGAAGCGCAGAACAGCACGGGTTGGTGGGCTGGTTTTCTCTGGTCATTGCACTTTGATGCCCAGGTGGCCGGAAGATGGCCATGACCTTTAGCCTGGCTCCGAGCACCTGGGCAGTTCACACAGAGTGTGTTTTGGGTATTGAACAGAAGTGTTTTCCTGATCTGACCTGTGTGAAAAATGCGAATGGCTCCTTTTCCTAGGACATACCAGAAAAATTTGTTCTGTTCTGTTTCTAAATTTCAGCTTTTGGCAGATCAGAATCTCAAGTTTATTGATCCATTCTGCAAAATTGCTGCCAAGACTAAGGAGTGAGTCCCATGTTTGTTTTTGCTGCTTCATTTGGTACTTAATTGTGGGTAATGGTGGTAAATTTGTTGGGAGGCTCGAGGCAAGATACCTGTGATGGTTTGTCCAAAGCCCAGAACAGCTGAGCTCTGAATTTCCGTTAGCAAGACGTGTGACGCTTTGAGTCACACCTGGGCTCTCTGCTGGATTGACCCCAGACATTCCAGGAGTCACACCCTCCACAGCCACAGTTCCGGATGCCTTCGTCACTTGGCTGTCCGCTGGCCCACACCGCTGTGGCTGGCTGGCGGGCGACGGGTCACGGCAGGTGCTCGGGATGCTGGAGTGGGCCGCGCGTGACGCACCCCACCACACCCGCGCGGCGAGCAGCCGTCTGCTGTCCTCACCTTCTCTCTGTTGCGCTTCCACCCTCAGCCAGACGCTGGTGCAGACCATAGCGAGGGGTGTTCTTGAAGTCATCGTAGACCAGTCTCCTTTAGGACCCGAAGAGACCCTCGAGGAACAGAAAACTCAAGGGGGTGAGAGCGAGTTCTCCGAAGAAGAGATGCCTGAAAGCAAGGCGGCATGGAGAAAACCAGTCCGTAAAAAGCAGCCGGGTGAGACGGTTCCCTTGAGCGGTCTGTTTACATAAAGTTCTCGTCAACTGAACACCTTTTAATGCATTTGTTGGAGTCTCACTGACGCAACTTAAGAGTTCATCAAAGGGGTCCCCGCTGTGGGGCTCCCCCCCGGGAAGGGAGGCCGAGGTGCGCTGACATGTGGCCCGGTGCCCGGGAGGACCCCCCCCCGCCGGCCGTGCCCACACCGTCTCCCAGCACCACGCGAGTCCCCCCAGGGTTTCATGTTGTTGTTGCTCTTGCTTTGGCTTTTGTTTGTTTCTATTGTTTCGGGGTTTTTGATGTTGAAACATCCTAACGTGGACTTGCTTCTGCAAGAGGGTCCTGGGCACTCACACTGCAAAGCGCATTTGTTTCCATAGCTCTGCCTCTTCAGCTCCGGGTGCCCCCAGGGCTCGTTTAACCCTGTGGCTGCCGCCGCTGAGCCAGTCCTAGTCCGCAGGGGCCACCTGTGGAGCCCGCATTTCAAGCTGCGGAGCCCTCCGATTCTGGGGGTGCTTTACGGCATCTCGGTACAGCATTAGGTAAACGGTGCGGTCAGGGTATACCCGGGCGCTTGAAATGTTACATAGACATTAAAAAGCTGAGATTTCAAAAACTAATGGCCGGAGGAAATTTAAGCATTTTTTTTTTTTAAGATTTTATTTATTTATTTGAAAGAGAGAGAGAAACAGCACGAGAGGGGAGAAGGTCAGAGGGAGAAGCAGGCTCTCCGCTGAGCCGGGAGCCTGATGTGGGACTCGATCTCAGGACTCCAGGATCATGACCTGAGCCGAAGGCAGTCACTTAACCAACTGAGCCACCCAGGCGCCCATAAGCATTTTTTTAATAACAGGACACAAGACTCTCTCTACAACAAGCCTGGTTTGGTATGTGCCCTTAAAAATCTGGAAGGATACCAGAATGTCAATCAGTGGCCATGTGTGGCAGGGTTATGGGTGACTTCTGCTTTCTTTGTACTTCTGTCTGTTGTTTTAAATTTTCTACAGCGATCACGTATTATTTTTTAATCAGAAAAACAATCTTTTAAAAAGAAGGAAGAACTGTAATCTTAAATTCAGCGTAGGTGACGGGATTAACCAGCTGACCTTGAGCAGGTGTCGTGTGGTCATGGGGGCTGTCCCTTGCTCCTCCCGCGCGCACCAGGTCTGTGTGTGAACTATTCACCCTCTCCCAGCTCCGTGCGTCCTGCGTGCTGCCCACGACCCTGGCAGGGCCCTGCTCCGTCTCCTCCAAGCTATGCCCGGAGGCCCCGCCACTAACAAGCTGCTAGGGTTTGACCAGTTGTGAGTTCCTTAGTGATTTTTTTTTTTAAGATGTGGGTTTTTATTTATTTATTTATTTATTTATTTATTTATTTGAGAGAATGCTAGAGAGAGCATGAGAGGGGGGGGAGGGTCAGAGAGAGAAGCAGACTCTCTGCTGAGCAGGGAGCCTGCTTCTCCCTCTGTCTCTGCCTCTCTCTCTCTCTGTCTCTCACGAATAAATAAATAAAATCTTTAAAAAAAAAAAAAAAGTTGAGAGTTGCATTGGTATTAATTTGCGTCTGATGCGGCCTCCCCGTGAGAAGTTAGTGTGGTACCTGTATAGGTTTTTACCACAGCCTAACACTTGCCTGAAGCCGGGGGCAGACTCCCGAGTGCGCCATGCTCCCGTATGCCGGGCGTCCGGCCCAGGGGCTCCTGGGCCCCACCGCCAGGGCTAACAGGACGATGGCGCGCGCCGGAGGGCGCCAGGGGCAGCAGGAGTTTGGTCTGTGACGTCATTCAAAGGCCAAATGTGTGATTTCTCCGGGACTTCCTTGAACAAGACTTCCGTGGGAGATGACGAGTGTGTGTGCAGGGTTTTCTCTGTGAAGAGACGGAGGGCGTGGTTCCTCTGCGAGAGGTCATTGCTGTGTCTTTGAAGAGCCCTGTCTCTGGGTGTGTTTTGATAGCGCTGGGCAAGCACCACTCCAGAAAGGACGGGGTCCACGACGACGGGGAGAGAGGCGGTGGGCGCCCGGAGGACGCTGGGCCCCTGCTCCAGGTTGGTAGAACATACTGGCTGTGCGGTGGCGTGGCTAAGTGGGAATTAGGGTCAGAGCTCATTATCCCCAAGGCCCGAGAATACAGTCATCCTTAATCCCTTCGCTCACTGACGTCACCCTCACGATAAGCTTACTGGAGACAGATTTAAACGGGACAGAATTTTGAAAGATGTCAGTCTTCACTCTGGCTCGAACCGTAGGTTGCATTCGCTACCACAAAGGCAGCTCCATGCTTTTCCAACAAATGTTACTGTGTTACCGAGCTCAAGTTGGACACGTGGATTAAGTTTACAAAGAAGCACACCCAGACAAGTTTTATGTGGTGTGTTTTACCACAACTTTTTTTTAAGGAAGAATAAACAGGACAGATGAAGAATAGCGTCCCCCAAGAATAAGTAGAAGAGATTTTCAAAGATAGCACTTAAGCTTTTCGTCGCTGAGTGTTAGCACTCAGCTGTTTACCGTCCTGCTGAGCGCACCCGGAGCCCCACACTGCCAGCTTCTGTCAGCAGTGGAAGTGACTGTCTAAGTCAGGGTGTGGTTTGCCTGCAGGCTTATGTTTTGTTGCTCTTCTCGCACAGTTCGACTACAAGGCTGTTGCTGACCGACTCCTGGAAATCACCAACAAGAAGAACATCCCTCCCTTCAACAGGAAGCGTCTCTCCAAACTCATCAAAAAGTAAGTGACTGGTGGGCACCGCCTGCGGACTCTCACCCACGTTCGCGCATGCTCACCTCCGCCCAGCCTTCGTCACGTCTAGCCGTAGCCTGCAGCGTGCTCACGTCCGCTGCAAGGTTTCAGGGAAGAGCCGCTCCCCTGCCCGCACATGTCCGCTTCACGGGCCCCTGCCCTCGACTCCTGTAGCCTCCTCATCATGGTGTGAAGAGAAGTCAGTTGGTAGAGTGGCCAGTGTTAGAGCCCGAGATTGCGGTGTTGGTGTGCCGCTCGGGTCTGGTCGAGGCCCCTCACCCCCCATCACGGTGATTCCACAGTGTGGCCATACCGGTAATTCACGGAACAGCACCGTGGCTTCTCGCTGTGGACTGCCGCTGTATGAGCAGGCGCCCTTCCGAGCACTGGACACGAATGAGTTCACATTAAGAAAAGCCCTGTAAGACGGCTTCTGTAATCTCCCCGCCTCACAGCCTCACAGATAGGTCAGCGGGGCGCGGGGCTTGCCCGATGTCCCAGCTGACAGGTGGCAGAGCTGGACTCAGACCCACTGTCCGCGCCCCCGGAGCTCTGCCCCCCGCCCAGCACACGGCTGCTGCACTTCTTTCTGTTCCAACACCAGCACTGCGTGGAGCATTTTCTCTACCGGATGAACAGAGAGGACAGTGGGGCATAAGCAGAGATGGAAGCTGCTTCAGTCTTGAGAAAGAATTTTTAGTTTCTTCGGTTCTGTGTGAATGAACCAAGATAGAGTCTCTAGATCTCCGTGTCCCTGGGGGCAATTAGTCCTTCACTTTAGGCCTTTGCATCACACCGCCTTTAGCCTCCCCTTCTAGAAGGAAAAGAAAGTGAACTAACACCCAAATAGCACAGCTAAAATATTGTGTGTGTGTGTTTACAGAAGACAGAAAGAAGGCTTCCTTCAGGGACTTTCATTCTTTGTTTCAGATTTCAGGATCTCTCCGAAGGTGAGGAGGTCAGAGGATTACACCGGGTGATGTTACATGAACGTGGCCCCACTGAGGCACTTAGTGCAAATACTGAAAAACAGGAAAAAATGAGTTGATCTCTCAGGCTCCGTTTCCTTTGCTGTCACGGTCACTTGTGCCCCTGGGGAAAAGCTGTTGTCTGGGGGCAGGGGCAGCTGAGCCCCAGGGGCCACGCCATCAGGGTGCCCCCCAGAGATGCAGTTCCCACACCTGCAGCAGGTCTGGACTGGGGAGGTCATGAGAGCAGGGATGAGGCGCAGAAGTCAGGGTGGAGAATCTTCCTGCGTGAGGTGGGGACAGAGTCCTGGCCTCAGAAAGCTGACGAGACACGCCTCTGCTGTCCGGCAGGCGGTATATCTCAGCTCAGTTTTGCCGAGGATGTTTCTGCTGATGAAGATGACCGAACCCTCAACCAAGGAAGGCATAAGAAAAAAGGAAATAAACTTGTAGAGGAAAAGGAGCTGGAGAAAGAGAAAGGTGAGCTGCGAAGCTCAGCGTGGCGAGGGAGGAGGAGGAGGGCGCAGACAGTCCTCGGGGAGCGGGGTGAGTCCGTGCCCGCTGGGAGGCTGGGCCCAGGGCTTCGGGGGTCAGGGCAGAGCCACAGCTTAAGCTCGTGCTGGCCGAAGAGGAAAGATCTGAGTGTGTGTGATTTTTCACAGCCTCCCCAAATGAAAAGCCCGTGGTTCCTCTTGGGGGCGCCTTCAGGGGCAGCGGGCGAGGGTGTCGAGAACCCTAGACACATGCACCCTTGGAGCCAGTGTTCATGCCCACCCTGCATCTGTGGTTCTCAGGGGCCTGAACGTGACGGCGGTTCCGTCTCTGGGAACCGGCATCCGGAGGGTCTGGTCCCAGCTGGGCCAGGGCAAGCATGGCGCCCCACAACCAAGCCTGCGGCCACCCCCATCCCAAATACTTGTTCACAGGCTTGGGTGTCTTTCTAGGAAACAGATTCTTTCTTGCTGAGGAAGAGGGGAGCGAAGCCAGTATTCAGAAGAGAAAAAGGAAGAAGAAGAAGAAGAACCACCTCCAGCCTGAACATTTAGGGTCGGGGACGGAAGCCATGTCCCCAGAACAGAATGGGGGTGGCGAGCCAGGGACCGGCACGGGCCAAGCCCCGAAGACGGCGGCGGAGCCGGGGACAGCGGCCACTCCTGGTCCCCAGGAGCAGAGTGGCGCGGAGCCTGCCCCAGTGCTCAGCAGGAGGAAACGGCCCCGGAAGAGGAGCCCCGGGGTGCAGGGCGGGAGCGAGGAGTCTGCATCACCACCACCTCTGGAGGACGTGGCCCCCGGCGGCCCCGGCAGCGCCCGTGCTCAGGACCCGGCTCTGCGAGCTTCCCCAGCCAGTGGGGCCCCGGTCCCGAAGAGGAAGCGGAAACTCGGAGCCCTCCCGGTCAACAGCAGCGGCCCCCCCACGCTGGCCTGGTCCTCACCCCTGGGCGGGAGGCTGAAGAAAAAGAAGGGGGAGCCTGGCAGCCTCGACCTGTGCGGCCCATCCAGTCAGAAAGCTGCCATCTTGAAAAAGAGGAACAGGATGAAGGAGATGTCTAAGTCGGTAGCGCGCAGCGGGGCGTTGGAGTCCGAGGCCGTGCTCGTCCAGGCTCTGGTAAGGCAGCCGGCCCCGATCCACGGGGGCAGGGGTCGGGGGGGCAGGCCAGAGCTCTGGACCGAGGAGCAGACCTGGTGTGTAACAGCCTCGACCGACGAGGAAATACACAGGCACCGCTTGCCGGCAGCCGAGACCGTCGCCCTGGGCCCCCCGCCCGACCAGGCTGCTCCCGCAGAGGCTGCAGGAGGGCCAGCGCCAAGCCGGAAGGGGCGTACGCCTGGCCGAGGGCACTGCTGCCGTGCCATTTACACAGGCGGGTGGGCGTCTTCATCAACTCCCAGCCAACCTTTGGCCCTCTTCGGGCCAGTTCTCTTATCTTTCTTGCTTAGTGTTTTAACGGAAAGCCTGTCTGTGCTTACACGTCTGGAGTTGGTGTAAATGAGGGGCCAGGCGCTGGAGCTGCCCTCCGCGTGCCCCTGTGTGGCCCTGCAGCGCGTCTGTCCCACCTTGACACGCGGCAGGAGCAATTCCAAAACCTCGTGACCATGGGGCTGCCGGTATTTACTCCCGGCCCTTCCCGAACAGGCTTGCTGACCGTGTCCAGCACACGCGCGGGCAGGCACCGGTGTGCGGCACACAGGGTGCCGAGGCCCTGGGTAACGGGCACCCGTGTGTGCTTGGCTAAGTGCTGATCGCAGGCTGATGGTGTCTCTGACAGGTTAGGTGAGTCCGTTTGTGGTCAGGAAAAGTCTCGGCTGGGGAAACACATGGAACTCTTCACTGGGCTCCGGGGAGCCTGTTCTCTCCTTAGAATATCAGGGAAATCTCCAAGTCTCATTTCTCAGGTCCCAGCAATCTTCCTTGGCATTGGAACTGTTGCTAAATAAGCCACAGAGTCAAGGAATGTTTTCCTCTCAAAATGGGTCCTGTGTCTCTGCTGTGGGGCGGAGGTGCACGAGAGAGGCCCCCGGGTATGCCCCTCGCTTGCAGCACCGTGGGGTCTGCTAAGGGCAGGCAGCAGTTTCCAAGCTAGGAATGCCGAGACCCTGTGGAAACCAGCAACGTGATGTCAGCCACGTTGGGCTCCAGACCCCCAGGGACCTCAGACTAGAGCAGGGCCCTCGCCAGGGGTGGCATCCGGTTGTAACACACCCAGGGAGGGTGATCTGCCTGTAACCGACCTGCAGGTCCTAACTGGGGCCTCGTGCTTGCTCTTTCGCACCAGGCTTTTCAGTGGACGGTGAGGTCTTTGATCAGAAATGAGAAAATGAGTTACTCTGTAACAGGGGGTCTTTGAAAGGCCGAAGTCTTTCCGAACAGGGGCTAAGGTGGAAGATAAAGATGGGTTCCTGTGGCTGAACAGCTAGGAAACCTTTGGCCGTGTGGGCACAGGGCCGCGGCAGAGAAGTGGCCGTGTGTGCCTGGGGTCCGCACCTGCCGAGGCCAAGAGTTATGTATCGTCCGGGGCAGGAAGCGCTGGGTGTGGGGTGTCCGAGCTGGAGACACTGCATCCCGTGGCCCCACGTTCCCTCCTTGCACGCGGGCATGACCTCTCCTCTCGCCCCTCCCCCACACAGGGAGGCGGGGGCGCTTTCAGCCCCTTGAAGAAGCAGCAGCTGAGGGTAGAGAATGACTTTGTGAGGTTTGACACCCCCTTCTTACCAAAGCCGCTGTTCTTCAGAAAAGCCAAGGGCAGCGCCACTGCGGCCTCTGCGCCCCGTGCCGTGCAGGTACGTGAGCTCAGCCCCATCCGGCTGCCCCCAACCTCCCCATGGCCACACAGCCCGTTCCTGCCTGAGAGCCACACACCTGGGCGCTGTGCGCTGGGCCTCGGGCCCCACTGCCGCCCTCCTGAGCCTGGGTCTGCCGTGCTGGGGGTCCCCAGGCCGGGGGTGGCGCTGGGGCTCTGGTCTCCACCTGGTAGCATGGGCTTGTCTCTCCGTGGTCTGGGATAGCCTGAGTGAGGGGCCCAACCTGACGGAGGGTTTCCCGGGGACAGCGCAGTCCGAGTGCCTCCACCGCTGCTGTCTCACTCCCCTTGTCATTCTCCCTTTGCAGCGAGGCAAGACGCCATCCAGCTCCAAGAAAGTCACCTTCGGGCTGAACAGAAACATGACTGCAGGTGAGTGTGGGGGACACAGGCCCTGACCCGTTTCTGAGTCAGAAGTCCAGCCCCCGAACAGTTAGTGGGGTGGCCAGGGTTGGGTGCGGAGAGGTTTTCTCAGGGCCCCTGGAAGGAGTCTGCCTGGCAGAAGATGCGTTGAAAAGCCATCTCCTCGAGCCTGCCGACGCAGAACGCTTGAGGCCCTCCTGGCCTGGGGACGACTGACAGTCCCCCAAGCCGTGGCTGCCTCTGCTAATATTTGGAGCCACGTGCCCAGAGGGAGGCGGGGAGAGGGATGTTCTTGTCTGGTTGCTTTTAGTATTGGTGCTGTTCACTTGTTCTGTTTTATAAACGGAAACCAAACTCTCTAAAAGGATGCAGTGTGTTTAAGACCTGACTGTTCGTAGGGCCCACAAGTAAACGTGTCTGTGTGTGCGCGTGCATGTGTGTGAGGAGGGGAGGGACCATCCAGGGGGCCTGAGGTAGGTGCCCCGGGCTTTCGAGGCCTTGTTTCGGGAGCTAGAGACAGTGAGAGGAGCAGATGAGCTGGAAGGAAAGGCTCTTCCCATGGCCACTGGAGCCTCAGGTTCATCCGTGTTCCCTGAGCGCCCCTGACCCCCCGAGGCCCTCCTTTCAGAACCTGACCCACCTGGCGCCCCCTCCCATGCTGTCCGCGGACATTGGTTCATTTGTTCCTGTGAAGCAGGATGCTGACTCCATTTCCTCCGAAAGCTCTGGGCCCGCTCTCTGCAGGGCCTCGTGACAGGCACTGCCCTGCTGGGGTGCACGGCCCGGCTCCCATGGGGGCTGCCGGCGGTGTGAACTGGACACTGCTTGGCTGGGTGGGCAGGTCGGAAGTGTTACTCCGTTAACGTGTGGCCTTGCTTTCATCCGGGGCAGAATTCAAGAAGACAGACAAGAGCATCCTGGTCAGTCCCACAGGCCCCTCCCGAGTGGCCTTCAACCCTGAGCAGAGGCCCCTCCATGGAGTGCTAAAGACGCCCACAAGCTCACCCACCAGCACCCCCCTGGGGACCAAGACGCTGCTGACCGCCACACCAAAGAGAAGGCCTACGGCTATGGACTTCTTCTAGGGTAGTTAGCAGGGTCCTTTTAAAGACTGTGTTTGTACAGATAGTCTATAAATTATAACTTTAAAAAGGTGGAGCCTTTTTTATTGTTTTATAAATCCCCGTAAATTGTATAAACAAGGTTCTGAGCAGGAGCTGCTGCTTCTCCATCCCTTCTGCGGGGGCTGTGGGCGTCTGGCTGAAGGTTTTGCTACAAACGCCATTGGTGCACGAGCTCTCCGGGGCCTTGCGTTTGCGGGTGACTTCCGTGACCCCCACCAGGGTGGGAGCCGAGCCCAGTGACCGTCCGTCACGTGGCACCGGTCTGTCGGCGCCCCAGGAGCCTGGAGGCGGGGGCCTCACCCGGGCGCGCAGCACTGCATCTGCCGTGCGGGGCTGGCTGCCGGTGGCTTTTGGTCTCCAGCGAGCCCGCGGGGCCTTCCTCCCCCGCTCCCCGGGTGTTTGTGCCGGGGAGACGCACGCGACCGGTTCAGCACTACCGTGGTAGCTTCCCTCTGTGGACCTGCAGCAGGGGCGGGGCGGGAAGAGCCTCCACGCTCGGGTCGCCTCCTCTCTCCGCCGGGCCTTGTTTCCTTCCCTGTGTTCCTACCTCTCAGGCCAGCCCAAAGTGTCTTGACCAGTGAGCGCCCCTCGGCTCTCACCCGGGACTGTGAGCACACTCCTTCCTCGGGGTCCTGTGCTCCGGTTGCTCTTCTTACCTTCTACATAAGCGTTTGAGCCAGCCCAAGTGACTGGCGTTCCTAAAGGCAGCTTTCCCGACTCAGACGGAAATTCGTTTCTTCAGAGGTGTGGCAACAGTGTCTGAAAGCCTGAGATCCTGCTGGAAGGCAGAAATAAGCAGCCTTTAAGAATTGTTTGTGCATATTTATTTGTCCATAGCTACCTTTTATCTGAAGTATTGAAGCTTGCACTTAAGATTTTTATAGACTTCCGATTTTAGTTCGTGACAGATGTCGGTGGCAGGTGGTCAAACTTCAGCCGGAGGAGCAGGGACCGGGCTTGGGGAAGCTGCGTCCATCCCTCAAGCCTGAGTGATGGACAGGAGGCAGATTCAGAAATCAGGTGGTCACCTAAGGAGAGCCAGTGGGCCCCAGCTCCTGTTTGAGTTTACGAAATAACAAGCACAGACCTCAAGAAGAGGTACGAAACTCGGAGGTCTGTAGTTTTGGGCTCGGGGTTGCTCAGTGCTGCCCTGGCCCGCTCTCCACTCAGGGGACCTCGGGCCTCCTGGAGTGAAAGCTGCCTCCCCCTTCCTGCCTCTGCCCTACGCAGACCCCCAGCGCTTCCTCAGTGGGACCGGCCACCGCTTTGCATGACGAGGGAGGCCCCCTGGGTTGGCGGGGTGTGTTGATTTGACTTTGGTTTCTGCATCACGTCGTCAGGGTGGGGCTCTCTCTGCACGTGCGCCGCTGTGGGGTCAGGCGGCCGGCGCACTGTGGAGGGAAGTATGAACCTTGTCCTTTGCCTGCTCTATAATAAAGTTTTGTCCTAATTAGTCCACAAGAGAAGACATAATTCACATGGAGCTGTCAGATAGTCCCTGTAACGAGAAGTCTTACGTCCAAAATGCTGTGGTGTTTGCATGGGGCTTTTGTGCTGCATTCGATAAAAAGACTCAAAACCACACTCAAAACCAAATCTGATCGTGGGAGATTAGATTGGAATATTCAGATATTTTTAACTTTTTGTTTAAAAAAAAAAAAGGTGTTTCATTATCCTTGGCCAGATTATTTTTCTAACAGTTTTTATTTTAGCTTTAAAGATGGGCCATGCATTCCAGCGGGGTTGAGATGTTTTAGCAAAACATCCAAGGGCACAGTCGGGTGAACGCAGGGACCCCCCCTTCATGCGCACATGGCACCCGTCTGTTCCTCAGACGCCCCAGCGGAGCGTCCAGGAGATGGGCCTGCTGGTTGATGCCGCACCCCCGGACTCGGGTCCAGGAGGGACCTCGGACTCCATCCCTCCTTCTCTAAATCTGTCCTCACTTACTCCATTTCGTGGGTAAGTTCAGTAGGTTTACTATGGCTTATTTTTAATGCCTAAATTTTGGCAACAAAGGAAGGAAGAAAACTTTTTTTAAATTATCATTACACACACACACAACAATAAAGTGTTGCACAAAGAAAATGTATTTAGAATACCAGTTTTCTATTCAATGCATGTTATTTTCCTAGGCAGAGTTGCTAAGGGGACTTGGAAGTCCAAAACTGGAAATCATTTACATTAATGCTGGTGATCTTACAGTATTTTGTAAAACAGTCATCTTCCCCCCGACCCCATACGTCTGGTTAGTTTTGTACAATTTGGTATCACACTTTATAAACACATAATCCTTTCTAACTCCTATTTACCTAAAAGCACAAAGGAGGGTCAGGGAAATCCGGAAGCGCTTGTTAGTGTTGGAAAGGACATGAAATGGAACCTGTCTTTTGATCTGTGTGTTTTCTCTGAATATACCTGACTCTGCTGGCAAGAACCGCGTGTTTACGGTCAGTCTGTACTCCCGTCTGCAGAGTATGTCTGTCGCATCAAAGCCAAGTCCAATAAACAAAACCTGTCTTTGCACTCACAATTGTACTTGATGTGGACTGTCTGTGTGCATGGAAGTACACCTCTGGGGAACCATGGAAAGGCAGGGAGTTGGCGGATGCTGACATCAGCCCCGCCTGCCTGACAGCAAGGTCCTGCAGGCCCCTGTCCATCCTCCGCCTGCCTCCTACCTGGAGCCAGCGAGGGGCTGCTGGGTGCGGCTCCTGGAGAGGTTCCCGCAGAAACACCACTGCCGGGCCTGATGCTTCTGCTCCACGGGCCCCACCTCCGAACGTGAGCAGAGAGGTGCCTGTGTCCCAGGTGGAGACACCCAGCTCCGTCCCAGAGACATGGCTGCCACTAGGGTGGTGAGGCCGCAGTCCACCGGGCGACCACCTACTCTCCTGCTGGGGGGGCCAGCGACAGGCTCCATGGGTGGGCGGGCAGGAGACAGGCACTGTGCTCTTTACCTTTATGTGCACATGTTCCTGAACAAACTTCCTCAGCTGTGGTCTGGATCCCAGACCGGTTCTGTAGAGGGTGACTTAACCCCTAAAATAACAACGCGAATACCAGTAAGACCTGTTCCCACCGTTTGTCGTCCTGACCTGACCCCAAGTCTCAACACCACATCCACATCCCTTCATCTGCTCCTCCGACAGCAGCCAGTTGGGTTTCGGGCTCTTGCTATTCTAAAACGTAGCTCAGGTGTCAGCTGGGGCTTGCATTCTACACCTTGGTGTGAACACAAACTCCCAGAAGGGGCTCCAAGGCCACCCAGGCCTGATTGCCTGCCTCTGCCCTGTTCTTGTTCTCCCTTCACCCCAAATGGGGTCACAGGGCCTTCCGCTCACCCCCACCCTGTCCTAAGATGCTGCAGGCATCAGGGAGCAAACCTGTTCCCCAGGGCTTGGGATCAGGAGTCCCACCACTCATCCATCACAGACTTAAAAACTGCACACATCAGGGTTTTTGGTTTTTGATTTTTTAAGATTTTATTTATTTCAGAGAAGGGGAGAGAGTAAGCATGAGTCGGGGGATGGGGAGAGGGAGACGCAGACTCCCCGCTGAGCAGGGAGCCCGATGCGAGGCTCGATCCCAGAACCCTGGGATCATGACCTGAACTGAAGGCAGATGTTTGACTGACTGAGGCACCCAGGCGCCCCTGCGCACGTCAGTTTTCAGAGTGGTCCGTCACAGGCTTTCTCCCCGTTTCCATGCCCGGACTCTGAGCTCCCCGGGGGCAGCCACTCTTCCACACTCCATGATGGGCTCAGCTCTGTCCCCGTGTTTCCACTCAAGCTCACGTGTGTGCAGCAGAAAACTGTTGCCGTGGCAGGAGCCACCCTCCTTAGCAGGCAGGTTGCAAAGGAGCTGTCCCCCTCCATATCCTGACAGGATACACCATCCATTCCACACCACCGCTCCATCAGCCGTGCTTGCCGAGCACCCGCCGTGTGTCAGGCACTGCTCTGTGCTCTGTGCTGCAGGGGCGACAGTCCGCGGGATCCGGGCCCTGCCGGAGCGGACTGAAGGGGAAGACAGGGGAAGTCAGAGCTCCCGGGAGGAGAGCGGGGAGCAGCCCGGGGCTGGTGCTGTCTCGTGAGGAATAATAGCCCCCGCCATACGTCTGGCCAATCTTGTACAGATCGGTACCAGACTTCACACTGTGTGATCCTTCTAAGTTTCTACTGAACTTAATGAAAGTACAATCTGGAAGCGGTGCTGCTCGTACTAAGTGTTGGAAAGAACATTAAACGGAATCCATGGTTTCATTTGTATATGTTTCTTCCTTCATTTACCCGACTCTGGCAAAGACTGTTTACAAGAAGGTAGCATTTGAACAGAGGCCCAAAGAGATTGAGAAGTGAAGCCATACGGGTGTCTGGAGAAGATATTGCAGAAGGGGCAGCCCATACAAAGGCCCTGCGGCAGGTACCTGTTCAGTAAATTCTACGAACAGTAAGGAGGCAGGACTTCTGGAAAGGGAGTGTGAATTGCTCAGGGACCCCGCTCCCCAGTAGAGACCTCTGATAACGCTGGTCAGAATCAGCAACAACAACCGTTCAGCGTCTCTGGAGATTGATCAAAGGGCTTACAACAAATTGAGAGGCATTTATTCAGTAAAATCCACAGCAGCTGGGTAAGGACGGTGGGAGGGAGGCTGTGACTGCTGGGGGCTGTGGCCTCAGGGAAACCCTCAGTGGGTGGCCAGCCATCTCTGTGGGGCCAGAGGCTGGAGAAGGGCTGTGTGGGTGCTGGGGGACGCTCCCAGAGCTCGCACAGAGCAGGACTGTGGCTTGGAGCTCAGGCCTTGTCTGTCTCCATCCCAGGGGTGTGGGAGCTCCCTGCCACCCCCCGCCAGACACCTTCTCGCCTGCCAGGCTCTGTGCTCACCTGTCGCTGTGTCTAGTCCTCACGGCTTCCGGAAGGGAAATCCTCCTGTGAGTCCCTGTTCCCCGGCAAGGAAA